GGGCTCCCGGCGGCCAGCAGCTCCCCAGAGCCAGGGCCTGCTGCAGCCGGGAGGCTCCAAACAGCTGTGCCAGGCTCCAGTATCAGCTCCGCACCGGCGCGTCGGAGTGGGCGGTGAAGGAGGGCCCTGAGGCAGCACAGCCCCAGTCTCTCCCCTGCTCCTGGCACAGAGGTGATGGCAGGCTTCCGGAGCCCGGTGCAGCTGTCTGTAGCCAGCCCAGGCTCTGGGCAACTGCAGCAAGCAAGCAGGGGGCAGGCTGCAGACAGCTGCACCAGGCTCCACAGCTCTGGCATCAGCTCCATGCTGGCGGTGACTGCACGGGCACCTCGGGGCGGGCTGCGCTGCCCCACTGTCCGCACTCCGGCCAAAAACCGATACCCACCCCTGCCCTACACCTTCTAATACAGGGGCGGGTAATTATTTTGGGCAGAGGGCCACTTAACCAGTTTTGGCAAGCTGTCAAGGGCCGCACGGGTAGCCCTGCCCCTTGACAGGTGCCCCTCACCCTGGTCACCATCTTGGGACCAATGTCGCAATGTCTTGGGACCAATGTCTCAGGGCTGGCATCATTGGGGCCCAAAGCGGGGTGCAGGCTGGCAGGGGTCTGCGGAGCTGGGCTGGGCTGTACCAGCAGGGAGAGGGGGAAGCTGGCCCGGCTCCACTGAGGCCCTGCCAGCCGGGACCCTGTATTCCTGCAGCCCTGCTCTGGACCTCACCGGTGCTGGTACCAGGACACTGGTGTGGGCCCTGTGCTCCTGCTGGCCCCCTACCTACTCACTCCCAGTGCCCCCCAGCCTCACAGTACAGGTGGGGGGCAGCATGCAGCCCCAACCCCCTGGTCGCCAGCAGGGAAGGAGCTGCTGCTAATCATAGGGAAAAGTGGCCCGTCCCCTGCCCCCTGGCCCATACTCCCTGCTGCAGCCACTCACAACCCATATGGGGCTGTCCTGAGCAGGCACAGGCAGCCCCATGCAGGCTGTGAGCAGGCTGCAGTGCGGGGTACCAGGCATGGGGCAGGCGAGGGGCCGTTTTTCCCTGTGCTCAGCAACAGCTTGTAACCTGCCCCTGCAGCCAGCGTGGGCCCCGCACTGGCTCCGGGCTCACCTGTCGGGGCTGCGCCATGGTGGGAGCAGCTGCTTGGCGTGGAGGAAAGCAGCCCCCCCGTTTGCTGTGCTGGGCAGTGTTTGCTGCTGCCTGCCTGGCGCTTGTGCACTGGACAGCCCACAGGCAGTGCTGGCAAACACTGCCCAGCACGGCAAGTAGGGAGGGCAGGGTTCCTCCACGCCAAGCAGCTGCTCCCACCATGGCACAGCCCTGATGGGCAAGCCCAGGGCCGGTGCGGGGCCCAGGCTGGCTACGGGGGCGGGTTACAGGCTGGGGGCGGAGACGGGGGAAAAGGGGCGC